GGAACAAGAAGAAGAAGAAGAAGAAGAAGAAGAAGAAGAAGAAGAAGAAGAAGAAGAAGAAGAAGAAGAAGAAGAAGAAGAAGAAGAAAAAGAAGAAGAAGATCAACTGCAGCAATAGAAACAATAATAACAATATGAACCAAAAGAATGAGATCTGGTGAAGGCAATTGCGGACGAGGAAAAGGGAGAGGAGAAAGAGTAAGAAAAGAGGGAGAGGAGGAGTAGAAATAGGAGGACGAGGACGAAGAAGATGAGAAGGAAGGGGAGACGGTTCAGGGCAGTAAAGAGGACGTTAAAAAATGGACATTATGAAGAGAGGTCGAGGTCAGTAGAAAATCAAAAGCATTATCATATATTTATAAGAAAAGAAAGGAGGGGGTGGAGGGGGTCCAAGAAAGGCCGATATGCTATTGGAACAAAGAAAGAGAGGAGGAAAAAATAATGTAGGCACAAATCTAGATGATAATCAAAACACTTTTCACAAAGAAAATTCGTTCTGTTCAGAGAGACAGCTCTCCCTTTTCCAACTTCATATCCTTTCTTGTTCGTCCTCAGATTACTGCCTGTACTTTCTGCCAAGCCAGGGCTCCCTGCGCTACGCGATCACCCCGCTGTATACACTGACTGTGGCCTGCTCTGATGACGTGGAGTCCACGACAGTGGACTCGTTGACGGTCACCGTGGTACCCAACACGCCACCTCTCTTCCAGCCTTCCAGTCCGCTTTCAAGTAAAACCACTGGGTTGAGATGTTTCTTAAAGCCCTTTAATAATAAAATAGGAAATTAATAAATAATTTACATTTTTATTGACTTCCGAGGGGAAATTTGGGTTACAATGGCAAACATGCTTACCTAAATACATAATTAGAAATACATACATAAATGCACACATAAATACATAATTACAAACTCATGAATAAATGCATATATAAATACGCACACAAATACACAATTCTTATTTTTTTTTAAACTATTGACGACTAGGTTCCATTTACTACTTTTTGTGTGAAAACATTAAATTATGAAGTTTAAAAGATTCAGTGAGCTGATTGGTAAAAGTAAACTTTAGCCCTTCATTCGAACTTAATCAGTATGCAAACCAAGGTCCACAACCTCTGTTGGACCAAATGTGGGTCACCGTAACGTCATGCTCGAACGATATTTTAAAATTAATGTTTAGAATCG